ATTTTTCATTTACTTGTCAGATTCTTTCATATACTGCTTTTATTGTAAACCTTAAAGGAGTTTGGTTTTCTTCAAATTTATTTGAACACAAAACTCCTTTTTCATGGGTCATATCAGGGGTCTCTCATTAATGAGGACCTGCTGGGACAGTTACCTTGGTTACATCTAGGATTAGTTTTCTTACACACAAAAAAATATCTTTTGGAATTCCTTTTGATTAGGATTCCCTGGTGCCAAATGCTGTTTTGTTTCTCAAAAATTATTTATTTTACTTTTAATTCTTGATGAATATATTTGTTTGGTATATGAATATATTGCGTTACACAGCAGTTATTCCCTCTCAGTGTGTTTTAAATATTTTTCATTAGCTTTTCTTGGTGGTGATGAAAAATCATCAGACTCATTTTTTCCATGTGTACAAGTAGGTAATCTGTCTATTCTTTGCTAGTTCCTTTGAAGATTTTCTCATTTTTTACATTACGCATTTTTATTACGATATATTTAGATGGAGACAATTTTTAGCCTGATTGGGATTGATTGGGCTCTCTGAATCTCAAAATTGTTATCTTTAATTATTCATGAAGCATTATTTGTTGCCAGTGTGTCCTCAAATATTGCATCTACCCTATATTCTTTCTCTCCATTTAAAAATTACAAGTTGAATGTATATTAGAACTTAGCAGACTGTTCTCTATTGCAGTGAGCCTCTTTTCCTTACTTTCTGTATCTTTTTTTGCATTTGTTCTAAATACAGTCTTAATTTCAATCTTTTAGTTCATGGGTTTTCTCTTCATCCAAGTGTATTCTGCTATCTAAAGCATCCAATAAATTTTAATTATCAATGACTCTATTTTTCTAGAGTTTTTATTGTTTTTTTTTTAAGCACTTGTTTTAATGTATTGTCCTTTACTCATATATTTTAATTCTAATATATGATTAGAATATATATATAAAATATAATTTATACGCACAGATTAGTTGTATATGTTGTCTCTGATATGCATAGCATTTGATGTCTGACATGGTTGCCTATTATGTGTCAGGATTTACTATTGACATCTCATTTCCTAGTATGATTTGTAAGTTTTGGCTTTGAGCTCAAATCCCTTGGAAGTTTGTAGGAATTCTTTATAACTTCTAGTGTAGATGGAAGATTTTTCTTTGCATCTTCCAGACACTTGAGGACACCATAAAGAGGGATTTCTTTCAAATTCAATATTTGATCCAACGTATTTTGGTCTACTCAGGCAGTATTAATTTGAGTGCAAACCCATCTGAGGACCATTTATAGTTACAAACTCTTATGAGAGATTAATAGGAGACTTTCTTTTTTTCCTTCCACCTAGAATTAAATTTCCAGCCAAGCAATTTTTCTTAACTTTTCCTGAGAGTAAATTTATAGCCAATTCAACTTTCTATATTCCTATCTTTGTGATGAGTACTTCCTGTTAGATATGCCAACTTCGTTGGGTCCTGGTCTCTTTCCCCTATTCCCTGTTCCCTGGCAAGCAGTGGAAAGTAAAGCTGATTAGTCAGATATGGAAAATTCCTTCAGGGCACAAGCCAACTTTAATAAAACTTTCCTCTTTAAGTTTAGCCCAAGACATGTGATGTCATTTCAGCTGAAACACCATAAAACCAAGTTTCAAGTTTCATTTCTTGAGTGACAAGCCCAACCCCAGCCCCCGGCTTCATACAAGGAAGCTAGCTCTCATGGAAACTTTTTGGTATAATTATCCATTAGATGCTTTTACCAACTTCTTCCTTAAAACCCACATCCAGGAAGGCTCTTAGCTTCTTCCCTTTTTCCAAGAATGACTTTTATTTTCTCTTCATGGCCTACTGATAATATTTATTTTCTGTTTATTGAGGTTATACACATCTGTGTGCACATATATATCCATATGTGTTATATTAATATTTACTAAAGTTTCTCCTGTGATTTCTATTTATTTTGGTTAAAAAGTTACTTCATAGCATGAACTTACAGAGCCATGTTGACAAGAGATCCCTATTCTCGTTGCCTATTATTTTTAAAATAAGGTCATAAAAAAACACACAAATGCCAGCTAAACCCTGATGATAAAAGACCAGAATAGTCCAGTACATATTTCAAATAATATTTATGTAACTTAGTGGTTTGGCTGAAGGTCTAAAATTTGTGGGGTTTTTTTTTTTTTTTTTTTTTGGATCTTGATGGGGAGATGCTAGGTATAAAACATTAAAAAGAAAAAAGGAAAGAAATCCAATACCACCAAAACAAATCTCTGTATTACTGGTGTAACCTCAAAGTTATATCAGGTTATGTTTTCATTAGTCTGAATAGTAAAATTCATTTGAGTAGTCATAGAGAAACTTAAGAACAACAGCAGGGCTGAATAATAATGCAAAATCTTTTTCGAGTACATGAGAGACTTTCCCTCCTGGTCGCTGAGAAATAAATCTAGGACCTGTGTATTAAAAAAAGATTTAAGCCTCCTCTACAGGACTTGAATTAAAGTAGGGTAGTATAAGAAATAAGGAATCAGTATGAGGTTGACCCACTGTAAATATTAGGATTATTTCTTTCTGAAACTACTAATTTTTATACTGCAATAAACTGAATCAGAAACAATCCCTACATCTTTTCTACCTAATAGAAACCTCTCTCCTTAACCCCTATTTCCAACCTTAAATCCCTACAAACACATTTTGAGAAAGTGCATCATAAATGTATTTATTTGTTCTCCCATAAAGAAGAAAAGGGATGGGTAACAGCATGAACTAAGGTCACGAGCAAGCAGATTTACTAGGCTCTGTTATGTAAGTAGGTTACAGAAGTTTCTCTATGGACACTGAGTGTTCAATATCCTCTACCTTTGATAAACACTGCCTTCATGTTACAATTGATAAAACATGGGTCTTTATTTTGTTTGTGTGAATAGTTTGTATCCCACTGATTCCAATCAATGGTTTGCAGGTGCTGAAAATATGCAAAAGGGGAAATAAAAAACCTCCCTGCATGATTTATTGTTTGTTTCCTTTAAACTCCTTAAATTATCATACATAACGCTGACATGACTAATAGTAAAATAAGAAAAATTATTTCTCAGTATATGAAAGCTACATTACAAAGAGTTCATTATTATAATTGAAGATAGAGAATAACTCATAAAAGGCAAATTGAAAAAATATTTAATTAGTGAAAATTTAATCAGCTTTTATTACTAAGTCCTATAGAAGGGTAAATCTTATATGAAGCTGTTTTCTAAATAATTTGTTAGGAATAAGATGTCAAGTTTGGCAGTGATTGGATGACAAATAGAAGACACAGGAATATTATTTTAAAACAATTTTTATTAAAAATCAAATTGCTACAAAGATTATGTGCTTATATATGATTTATAAAAATAAAAATATAATTTAAATCCATGTATTCACTATGCATTTTAAGAAAGATAGCATTCCATTTACATTAAAGCCACTTTCTGACCTGATTCTTTCCCCACTCCCAGAAATAATGCTTCTTGTCTTAGTTCACTATATGTTTGTACTGCTAAACAATATATTGTTTACTTTGCCTCTGAACTTCATTAAAATAGATTCATAGTTTGAAGAGGTTTTTCTCAAACAGCATGTTCTTGAGATTTGCCTATGAACTAATAGTTTATTTCCTCTCCTCTCTATTGTTCCATTTTATGAATATAGCATAATTTATTCATCTTCTTTTCATTGTTTTCTTGCTTCTAAATATGGGAGATATAAAAAATTCTGTTATTTTCATGACTGTATATGCCTTTGTTTAAGCTAAGTAAGTTTCGGGGTGCCTGGGTGCCTCAATCAGTTAAACATCAGATTCTTGATTTTGATGAACACAGGGGAAGTGATCCCAGGGTCTTGAGATCCAGCCCCAAGGCAGGCTCCACACTGAGGGTGGAGCTTACTAAGATTCTCTCTCTCTCTCTCTCTCTCTGCCCCTTCCCCCCCACATATCCCCTCCCGCTCCCTTGTGCTCTCTCTCTCAACATTCATACATACATAAGTTTCTCCTTTCTAAAATAAGCAAGATTTCTCTAAACCTTGAAGAGAAAATGATGAGCCATTAGTTAACATCTTCATCTTTCTTAACTAATGACAAATGGTTTTCCAACAGTTTGCCAACCTGAACTCTAATATTATATAAAAGGCTTACCAGTGTTTTACTTTAAAAATATATCTTATACTTTATTTTTCAACTTTTAAACTGCAACTCACAGCAGAGAGTGCATGTATGAAAATATATAGCTTAGAGTAATACATAAAAAACTGTCAGTGCAACCAAACCTATGTCAAGATATAAAATATTGCAAATAAAAGTCCTTCTTGTGTCTCCCCCAATCACTACACCTTCCCTATCTCCTTCCAAAAAGTTATCAGCATCTTATCTTTTATTGTAATGATTTCTTTGTTTTTCCTTATAATTTTGCCACCTGAGCACTCATCAATAATTAATACTATTTTGTTTCGTTCGGGGTATTTTGCTAAGTGAAACAAGTCAGTCAAAGAAAGACGATTATCATATGATTTCACTTATATGTGGAATTTAAGAAACAAAACAGATGAACACAGGGGAAGTGAAGGAAAAGTAAGACAAAAACAGAGAGGGAGACAAACGATAAGACACTAACTCTAGGAAACAAACAGGGTTGCTAGAGGGGAGTGGGAGGGGGATGGGGTTACTGGTGATGGGCATTAAGGAGGGCATGGGATGTAATGAGCACTGGGTGTTATATACAATTGATGAATCACTGAACTCTACCTCTGAAACTAATAACACACTATATGTTAATTAAGTTGAATTTAAAGAAAAAAGAAAAGAAATTTTGTATAACTGGTGTCATATAATATTTATAATATTGTGCCTGCCTTCTCTTGATCAGCTTCTATTTGTAAGATATGTCCATGCTTTTACAAGTAGCTATAGTTGTTTGGTTTCATTGCTGAATAATATACTGTGTATGTGTATAGTACAATGTGTTTACCCATTCTGCTATTATAGCCATGTCGGCTGTTTCCACATTTTACTATTATCAATAGTGCTAATACAAGCATTCTTTTTTAATAAATATTTTTTTTTAAGATTTTATTTATTCATTTGAGACACAGAGATACAGAGAGAGAGAGAGCATGAGCAGTGGGAGAGGCAGAGGGAGAGGGAGAAGCAGGCTCCTCGCTGAGCCAGGAGCCCAATGTGGGGCTCAATCCCAGGACCCCGGGATCATGACCTGAGCCGAAGGCAGACGCTTAACCATCTGAGCCACCCAGGCGCCCCAATACAAGCATTCTTAAATGTGTCTTTTGTGTACTCACTTCTGTTGCGTATATTCCTTCCATTTGAATTTCTTCAAAGGGTATGCCCAGGTATTCGTCATAATATATCACCAAACATTTACTTTCAAAATGATTTTACCAATTTGAATCCTCTTTGTCATTTTCATATTGATTTGTATGAGTTCTTTTTTGTTTGTTTGCTTTATGTCTACCAAATATCTCTTCCTCACTGTATCACTTATCTGCGTGCCATTCTAATGATATCCCTTAAAGTTCTTAATTCTAACCTAGTCCAATGAATCTTTAAGTTTCTGGTAGGTGTATTTGTTTCCTTTTCCATAAAAGTTTTAACTCCCAGAGGTCATGAACATAGTTGTTTATATCCTCTTCTAGAATTATTATTGTGTTTGATTGAAATTTAGATCTGCACTCCACTTGGGATAAATTCTTATGTATGATGTAAGGTGAAAGCCACATTTTAATGTTTATGTATGAATATCCACTTGCCCCAGCACTGTTTATTTAAAATGCTATCTTTTCTCCACTTTTTTTTTAAGTGTTCCTCTAGGTTCTACCTTCCATTCTAGCTCCAGCTCATCAGGGCATAGTGAAAACCACCGTGAATGATTTAGCGCTCATTTTTGCTTTTGCCTAAGTGTAGCCCATAAATTTCATTAATTTCTTGCCAAAAAAACTTATAAACATACTTAAATGTTCATTCTCATTTCTTTTCCTCAGTTTTGGGGTCTTTTTAGCAGCTGCTTATCAGATCCATCATCCTGCTAGAAAAATAAATCCAGGAATACTTTTAACTTTTATTTAAAAACCACTTAAATAGAAATTACTATGCTCCAGGAATTTTCCAAGTATTTTATAAATATTAAATAATATACTTTATTTAATTTGGTTTAGTTAGTTAATTTTAATTAACAAATTTAATCCTCATAACAAACTTGTGGGAGCAATACCATAGTCACCTCCCTTTGAGATGAGAAAACTGATGTATGGAAAGATTAGATAAATTGCCCCAAATCAGGAGTTAGTATGACATGGAGTTGGTATTCAAACTAAGGAAGTACATGCTTTAAACACCAGTAACTCCATTCCTCCCCATGATATTCCTTAATGATTCTCTCTCTCTCTCTCACACACACACACATGCACAACACAGACGTGGGTGATTACCTGTCCATCATGTCTTATGTTAAGCACTGGAGTGATATTCTACTACTGTACTTTTATTAAGAAAAAGAGACCAAGGAATGACTAAATTATGCCTTGGCCAGTCCAGCTATGAGCAACATCAATATTTATCATAAGATTGAACTAGAAAATGACCTAGGAAATAAATGATTTGGTATATTGTCCTTCATCCCCAAACTTTGTCATTTCTATCCATTCTTATGTGAAATAGGAATGATAAATATGGAGAAACAGCAATGGAAAAATAGGCGGAAAAAGTCAGCTTTCATGAAGAAGGGAGAAGTGGGACAAAAAGAATGTCAGATAAAGAAATATAAAATATGTCACATCACTATTATTTCACCCTGAGCTTCGCATGTAGTAATCAAGCACACAATCTTCCATCCCACCTGCCTTATTTATTGCTGGAAATCTGGTGAATAGAAGAGTCTCTTTTTTATTAATTTTTTATTACTTCTTCATTCTCCTAACCCATTTTTCTTTCTCTGGTCTTACTCCATCTGTTTATTAATCCATATTTCAGGTTTAATAAACTTTTAAAATCAAATCTATTCAGTTAGATCCCTTCGTTGGACCTGCATTTCCTATCAGACACAGTTTATATAAAGTGTTGGGCACAGCAAGATAGAAGCTTCTTGATCTTGTCCATGGCAATCTGTTATCATCTCTCACTCATCTCTCACTGTTGTCCCTATGTGGGTTAAAAAATAATGATTAATTAAATTAAAAAACCTTTACTGCTGCAATTCTCAAGTTTTTCTGACAGCAAATAGAGCTCATGATTAGATGGTCATATAAGCAATATATGGTATTCCTAAGCCTGTTTTGCATGAACCATGGGTTAAGTTCCTATCGGTCATAGGATGGTTTAATATTCCATAATTATAAAGGTTATGTGGATGTGAAAGATCTGACAAAATTATCAATTTAAGGCAGGGAATATTTGAACAGTTTACCTGTCACCTAAACCTGAGACAAACCTTTATAGAGGAAAAAATCCTTTTGATGACATTTCTCTTGTCACAACCCTTCAATCTAAGAAAATGTTCCTGCTGAAATTAAATCCAGATTCAGATTTTTATCAAATGCCAGACATTCACTTAGTGGCCCCAAAAGATTGTGTTCCCGTAAAGATGTCAATTTTTGCCAGTATGACCATATTATTGGGCCCTATTTTATCTACACACACACACACACACACACACACACACACTGAATTTAGTTTGCTTATTACTTACTGATTAATTAGATAATATGGATTGTGAAACCAACCTTACAAAGTTATTAGGACAGATAACTGTAACAGTAGAAAATCTAGTTTGAGGCAGCCAGCGTGCCACTCCAAACAATGTCTTTTTTTTTTCAATGTTTGATAAACTGAGTGCCTACTTAAGTTTTTAAGTTCAAATTTAGAGCTATTGTTTTACTTTACAGACTACTACATGTAATGCATGTGACTACAAGGAGAAGTGAAGACAGATTCAGATTCAGTATTGATATCCTTCTCAGACAATTGTTATGAGAAGGTCAGAAAGCAAAACATATAGGCAATCTGACATTTTCTCAATTATAAACTACAGATGGAATAGTATGCTTTTATAACTTTGACCTTCTCTGAAAATAAAATGGGTAGGGTAAAATTTTTAACTAGAATTCCTTTCTTTTGGTGTATCCTTTCCTGTAATTTTGTATCTGTTTTGGATTTCTGGTTGCTTCTCTCTTCCTCAAGTCTAATTTTTGTGTACAAATGTGTGGATTTCATACAACAGCTTTTTGTTTACTGTTAATTTTCAATATAGATTTAAAAGACTCTGGTCCTAGAGAACAAACTAAGCAGGAGATTAACAGGGAAATAGAAGATTCAAGAAGACTTGAACGACACTATAAAACAACTAGACTTCAGGGGCTATGCAAAATACTCCGCTCAACACAAGGGCACTACACATTCTTGTCAAGTGCACTGGAGTATTTTCCAGGATACAACAACAGCAGAAACAGTATAGAATGTTAATGATACAAGGAAAAAAAAATTAAATTCCTATAACCCTCTCAAAAACCAAGTCTTCATATTCTCACTTCAGTTTCTTTACAGAGACTTCAAAAATATTCACTATTTATTGATGTATAGTATCTCACCAGGGTGATGGCCCATAGTTTACTTAACAACTGTCTTTACTGGGCATGAGGTTAGCTTATAATTTTTAACTGTCATGAATAATACCACAGTGATTCCAACGCAACCCACAAGAATAAAATATAATTTCAAATCTTTATAAATGTGCCTCAATTGGGGAAAAAAAGCCCACATTCTTCTGCCTTTATTATTATTCCTAAAACATTAAATCATGGTGTGCTAGAAATGATGGATAGACATTTTCTGCACTTTGGAACAGCTCTTAGAATACTGAAGACAGAATAGCAAAAGTATAAACTATCGCTCTAGATCTCATTTTTGGGGGGTCAAACTTTGTTGGTTTTTATGCATCTGAAATGAAACCTAACAGATATAGGCATCTCCAATATAATACATCTCATATTTAATTAGCAATTCTCACATACCTAGAAAAGGAGTCTACGCACTGTTGTGGAAAATGTTAAGCAATATGGATTGGTAAAAATAACCCAAATTCCCTTCGTAGATTTATTTATTTATTTATTTATTTATTTATTTATTTATTTATTTATTTATTTATTTTGAGAGGGAACACAAGCAGGGGGAGTGGGGGGAGAAGCAGGCTTCCCGCCGAGCACGGTGCAGGGCTCGATCCCAGGACCCTGGGATCATGACCCGAGCCGAAGGCAGACGCCTAACAACTGAGCCACCCAGGCGCCCCCGTAGATGTATTTATAGTCTATCACTGTCTGACCAGGTGTGTGGCCTTAGGCAAACCCCTTCCCTCTTGACTGTGATTTCACCACCTGCACAATAAAGTTGCACATGCAATCCTCCATACAATTCCCTAATTCTGAGAGAGGACATAATTTAGATGAACCTCCAAGAATATGGATAACCACATATTTATTAGAACCAGAATTTGGAAACTTTTTAAAAGGTATAATATTGATCTTTTAATTTTTATTTTATTAGGACTCTTATTTTAAGGAATGGCTTTGAATAGATAAGTATGATACATTGCTAGAGTTATATCTAAATCTAGAGAAATATAGAGATAGCCATAGAGATGAAGATGTGTCAACTGCACAAATACGTATAAACTTCCCACATCAGGGGTTGCCCTCCCTACTTTTTTTTTTTTTTTTTAATAAAGAGTTCTAAGTCAATGCTATGGTTGGTTCACAATCTTCCCCTCCCAAAGTATCACAGTGTACTCTGGAATACTCTAAAAATCTCTTTCTCCTATTATCTCCTGAAATACAAAATACAGGTTTTGTTTCACCTAGCCAACTCTTGGACAAATTGTTCTCATTCTATTGAACTGACAGTTGGTCTATATCTAACCTTTGGATTTTGCTACTATTTACCCATCCTAGGAGGCCCTAGATGTGAAACAGTGTTTCTTTTACTTCA